AAGGAAGAGAACATTTATTACATTTCTTAATTCTCTTCCTTTAAAGAGAATTAAGACATTTATGAATTAGAACATTTATTACATGTCTTAATTCTCTTTAAAGGAAGAGTACATTTATTACACGTCTTAATTCTCTTTAAAGGAAGAGTACATTTATTACACGTCTTAATTCTTTTTAAAGGAAGATAACATTTATTACATTTCTTAATTAATTAAGACATTTATGAATTAGAACATTTATTACATTTCTTAATTCTCTTTAAAAGAAGAGAACATTTATTACATTTCTTAATTCTCTTCCTTTAAAGAGAATTAAGAAATGTAATAAATGTTCTCTTCCTTTAAAGAGACAACTGTTCTCTGAATCCTTTAGATTTAATAAGTTATTACGTCGATTAAATTTACATAAGATTCGACGCAATATTCGATGAGTATTGAAAATAAAAGACTTGCATAATATTTTGTCCGTTATTTATATGTTTTTATATTTTATTTATTTATTTTTTTATTTTTTTATTTATTTATTACCTGCCTTTCTCTTTTTATTTTATTTTACACGCTAATAAATAATCAAGCGAACAAGAGCACAAGATTTACGCGCGGTAGTCTTGGTCGTTGGAAACTATGGAAACGCTGAAATTGAGCGAAGGTACCAGGGAAGTATGTCTTGCGAGTAGGTATACGCGCCAGCTCCTGGGCGTGTATATAGCGCGCTTGACCCCACCTCGCGCGCGGCAGCCATTTTGGAGCACGCGCGTCGGCCATTATGGAGCGCTCGCGCCTCAGCCAATCACCGCGCGACTCACGGCGCGTAGGAGGTGTTGGGGGGACGCGTAGCCTCGCCCACAGATACCTCTCGCATTACCTCTTCGCACAACATGTGTTCCTGATACTTTCAGCGATTTTTCGAGGCTCTCAGAGGACGCGCAACTCACCTTACTCGCTCAATTCTTTTGCTATTTCTCTCTCTCTTGCTTAATTCTCTCTCTCTCTTTCATTCTTTCAATAATTTGTCAATTTTTAAACATTAATTTATAAATTTATTATAAATATACGTATGTATATAAAACATACTATTTATTATTAAGGATTAATAGATGTATGTGTATATGCAACGTACACGTAAAAATAAACAGTTATGATAATAATGTAAGTAATCAATTTTTTGATGCATATAAATTTATAAATTATATATGCATAATTATATAACTTATAAATTATATATGCGTAATTATATGTATATGCAATATGACTTATATAAATTATACATGCGTCACAATAAAATGTATAAGTAATTATCATAGTTTGTATATTGAGAAACAATAGAAAAAGGAACAATAAATTAGATTGAGTTTGCAATGTGTTTTCCAGCACCAAGGGTTTTATTATTCTGTTATTATTACATAATATTGAAAATGTTTCCGTTATTTTAATTTGTTTGAGAGTCCCGGGCATACATACTGTATGAATTTATAACAGAAGTTTATATACAAATACATAAACTTTATATATCTTTTTGATAAATATATATTACATATATATTTATTTTA